CTGTTAAGTTATCAAACGGCTACAGAACTAAACCTTATAAAAGTAAATGTCAACAATGTCAAAGTCACCGGTAATGACAAAATTGAACAATGTCACGACTCTCTAAAAGATAAAATGGACAAAAAATTTCCCCATTTGTTTCATGGAATTGGAAAATTACACAATTTTGAGGCAAAGTTGCATGTTGATTCTTCTGTACCCCCTGTAGCACAACCAGCACGTCGAATTCCATTTCATTTACGAAGAAAAGTTTCTGCTGCTCTTAAACAACTGGAAAAGGATGACATAATTGAGAAAGTTGAGGGGCCCACACCATGGATTTCGCCTCTGGTTGTTATTCCCAAAAATGACGAAACTGTGCGCCTCTGCGTTGACATGAGGCGTGCAAACTGTGCTATCCAGAGAGAGCGACACCCATGTCCCACGGTTGATGATCTTATACATGCAATGAATGGTGCCAAGGTATTCTCCAAACTAGACTTGCGTTCGGGATATCATCAGTTGTTGTTAGCAGAGGAAAGCAGATATATTACCACCTTTGTGACACATAAAGGATTACGTAGATATAAAAGGCTTAATTTTGGAACTAATTCAGCTAGTGAACTATTCCAGAAAGTTATCCACGATCAAATTCATGACATACCTGGTGCTATCAATATAAGTGATGATGTCATAATCTATGGGAAATCTCAACAAGAACACGATACCGCTCTTCACAATGTTTGTCAGCGCTTTACCAAAGTTGGTCTAACTTTGAACAACGAAAAATGCCAATTCAGTCAAACCAAATTGACATTTTTTGGTATGGTTTTCTCGGCAGAAGGAATTTCTGCGGATCCTCATACAGTTTCAGCAATCAAGAATGCATCACCACCAAGCTCTGTTAAGGATGTTCGTAGTTTTCTAGGAATGGCCACCTACTGTGCCAAATTTATACCCAACTTCAGTCACTTGAGGGAACCTCTTCGTAAGTTAACCATGAAAAGTGCTCAATTCCGTTGGACAAGATGTGAACAAACTGCATTTGATAACATTAAAAATGCTTTGACCAGTGATACAGTAATGGCTTACTTTGACCAAACAAAACCAACTGAATTAATCACAGATGCATCGCCATGGGGGTTATCTGCAATACTTGCTCAAAATTCAACACAACATGATGATCGCCGAATTGTGGCTTATGTTAGTCGGTCGTTATCTGAGGTAGAGAGAAAATATTCACAAACAGAACGCGAGGCACTCGCTATTGTTTGGGCTATGGAACGGTTGCAGACATATTTACGTGGTGGTAAGTTTACTTTATACACCGATTGCAAGCCCATTGAACTAATCCTAGGAAACCCGAAGTCCAAACCCCCTGCACGCATAGAACGCTGGAACTTAAGAATTTAGGACTTTGATTTTGATATAATGTACACTAAAGGCAGTGATAATCCCTCCGATTTTTTATCCCGCCACCCCTGTCAAGAAACAGATAACAAACATGAAATGTCAGCAGAACAATATGTAAATTTCCTCACCATGCATGCAGTTCCAAAAGCGATGACTATACAGGAAATACAAGAAGCTACTAAACACGATAAAACTTTACAACTGCTTACTGAAATTATTCGCAAGCAAGCATGGGGCTCCATAAAAGACTTGCCAACAACTGGAGAAGACGTAAGTGAATTGAATCTGTTTGCAAAGGTAAGAGATGAACTAACAATTAATGAACAGTTGGGTATTATTCTGAGAGGAACTCGTATTATTATGCCTTGTTCACTTCGCGAAAAAGCTATACGACTTGCGCATGAAGGCCATCAAGGGTTGGCAAAAACAAAACAACTGATTCGGGAAAAAATTTGGTTCCCTAGAATAGATAAAGATGTTGAAACATTGATTCGTGGTTGCATACCTTGTCAGGCCAATGGCACAGCAAATCACCCTGCCCCATTAAAGATGACCGAGTTACCCCCTAAGCCATGGCACACGGTCCATGTTGATTTTTGTGGACCATTTCCAACAGGGGAATATACTTTAGTTGTCATCGACGCTTACTCCCGCTTCCCAGAGGTTGAAATTGTGAAGTCTACATCAGCCACCTCAACCATATCTAAGCTCGAAAGAATATTTGCAACCCATGGACTGCCAAACATACTAAAAAGTGATAATGGCCCTCCCTTTCAAAGTAATGAATTTAAACAGTTCATGACAGAAAATGGTATAAAACATCAAAGAATCACACCATTATGGCCAAAAGCCAACTCTGAAGCAGAGAATTTTATGAAACCAATGGAGAAAGCTATTCGTGCAGCTCACATTGAAAAAAAAAATTGGCGGAAAGAATTGTACCACTTTTTATTGAACTATCGAGCTACCCCACACACAACAACAAAGTTCGCGCCAGCTGAACTTTTATTCAATCGAGAAATTAACACCGAATTACCAAGTAAAATTATCAACCAAAACACCAAGATTGATCAACAAGTTCGAGCAAACGATGAAAAGGGTAAAAGAAACATGAAAAGAAATGCAGACAAGTCAGCCAATGCCAAAGAGGTTGACATTAAGGTTGGTGATACAGTATTGGTCCGTCAGACAAAAAAGAATAAATGGTCAACACGGTTTGATCCTAAACCATATTGTGTAACGCGGGTGAAAGGAACAATGATAACAGCTACTCGTCCAGGACATTATATCACAAGAAACATTTCATTTTTCAAGAAAGTGCTACAACAAGAAATTCAACACAACTCTGAGGATGCAAGCGATGAGGAAGATTACAGTAAACTTGATAATAACCTCCCTGACACAAACATTGAGGAGAACAATGAACTTGCTGAGAGACGGTATCCTGCGAGAGACAGAAGACCTATCAATAGATATGGTCAAAACATATATAATGCTTAGTAATTTTAATAATTCGATTTTATAATACCATTGACATTTTGTTAGGACTTCAGTGACAATTCAAAGTAAGGGAGGGATGCAGTGATCACATGATGGACATGTGATACAATAACATTTATATATAGTTTTAGGGTGTGTTCACATTAGTGATTGATTGAGCGTTGAATAAATAAGTACAACATTACAGCGGGCATATTCGTGTGACTATTTACCACAAATCTACTGTGGTGTGGGTTGAAGAGATTCTTACAGTTTTTATAGTTATCGGTGGGAAAGGATAAACATTGTCTGAATAGAAATTTATCAACAGTGGCCTTTCATCGCCCTTAAAATTTCCTGTGAATGGCAGCCATCTTGGTGTGACCTCATCCGTGAAAGTCATCTTGGTGTGGTCAGTCGTACAGTCATCGCGCAGTCATCTTGGTGCGACTTCATCTACGGTTAAAACGTTCTAAAACTCCTTAGAACTAGAAGACATGCGGAAAACTGTATCTTTGCTCGAGCCAACGGCGCCAAGCGCCGTTTCGGGTGTCAGCCCGGGGCGAGGGTACTATTTCCGCGTACTAATTTTAATTCATTTGGTATTCATGTGCCAACTTCAGTTAAATGAAATAAAAACTTGGAAAAATGATGATGATTATATTTTTCAATTCTTTCTTTTTTATGATACTACATGCATGCATATATTTATCTGTTTTTCGCTTCAGCAAATGCATACATTCGATCAGCTAGTGATCCACGTTGAAAAACCCTGGAGAATATCCTGTGTCCCTTTTTTATAGTTGATGCAAAAACCGTTCATGAGGAACCAAAGTGCATACAGACACCACACCTCTGAAGATCACTTGCGAGATAGAGAAAATAACTTTCATGGAAAAAACAACTTTCATAGAGAAATAACTTTCACAGAGAAAACAACTTTCAAATAAAAAGTGACTTTCAAAACCGTATTGAGGAAAAGCTACCTACACCTCTACTGGAAACCAACATTGAAGATAATATCTCATTTTTCTGTACTTCCCCTTCTCTATTTGATATTCTATATCCACATGTTTGAATTGAATACATGTAATTGTTTTTGTCGAATTGCAGAGAAAGTATCGATCAAGTATATACGAGCTTGGTGCTTGGTGATTAGGACGTTAATAATAAAGCAAAATCCATTAAAACAGATGCCTATCAATGTCCCTGGCAAATACTGTGTAGTCCAGACAATGGATGGTCATATGCTAAAATATCAGAAAATGGGATTGATAACGAAACCGTACTGGTAAAGAAACAAAATTCTTTCCACAGGAATTTTATTGTGACACTTTAACACCTATGTTCACGATCATTCAGTCATGGGCGTACCGGAAGGAAAAAATTAGGGGGGCGGAAAGAAATTTGCCCGACTTTTCGGGATTGTGCCCGACTAGTACCGAAAAAATTTTTCCCGGAAAAACTATTTCGGCGACCTCCCTCCCCGTCGCCAAAAAAATTTCGGTCAGTGTACCATTTTAGGGGTCAAAAAATTTTTCCGGAAATACCAAAATTTTTCGAAACATCAAACTAATTTTCCAAACAACAAAAAATTGACTGAATTTCCGACTAAATTGACAGAATTTGTCCAATTTATTTTTATTACAAACCAAAATTGCCAGACTGTTGATCGAATATTGCCCGACTGCCCAAAAAACTGGGCGGGCTACCGCCCCCCGCCCCCCCCCTCCCGCCCGGTACGCCTATGCATTCAGTCATGTTCCTTTAAGAACATTACGCCGTCCCCTGCATTAGCATGGAAAAAACTGTCAAAAATCGAAAAGTAGGTATATGAGTCTCTGTATAAATTAGTTCGTTTTCTCCCTATACATATACAGTGAACCTATAATCTCGAGTGCACTATCTTAATTAAGCACTATAATGGCGATTTATATGTTTTAACTGTTATAGACGTATATATGGTACACCATTGTGGTACACTAATATTTCAATATTTAACAATTATTCGCCGAAAGCGAGGTAATTATCGGGGAATATTCACCCACAGGCGGCCCAATCTCGCAAGGGTCAGTATAGACGTTATAGTATAAATGTATATTATATTATATTATGTTATATAATACCTTATTAAATTCTAATCGTTTAATTGGCTGTTTATGGTCACGTGATATTGAATAGAAAATTCCATTTCCCAAGAGTGCAATGGAACGTTCCATTGCACTCTCCGCGAGTGCAATGGAATAAAACGTATAGTACAATTGCACTCTTTGTGTTTTCGATAAATCGCATCCCTCAAAATGCTTCTCATACGAATCTATTAGTCTGTTCTGGACTTTTGGTATTATATAAAACAAATAATGAATGTTTCTTCGTGCAATAGTAAGAATATTTTCATTCGGTGAAAGATGGAATGTTCCATTCAACTCGGCTGTCGCCTCGTTGAATGGAACATTCCATCTTTCACCTCATGAAAATATTCTTACCATTGCACTCATAAACATTCATTATTTGTATATTATATTATATTATATTATATTATATTATATTATATTATATTATATTATATTATATTATATTAATGTATATTATAGTAAAAATATGTCGTAAAATATAAATTTTCAAATGAAATTGACTTGCCTATTTGATAGTGTGTGTTCTCCTTTTATTCCTCCTTTGTTGGACTAATATTTTCCGAGACTTTGTACTCGATGTTACTAGTATACATGAAACATGATAAAGGCTAACCATTCCCGATCGTCGATACGACGGCACGGCACTTCGAATCGAAAATTTTCACACTCAAATCGCTTTATTCTCCAAAAAAATTCGCCAGCATGTACAACAAATGCCGTTCTTCGAAAATACGGAGGTATTTCGGCGAGATGTACAAGTTTTGGACCATATTTTAACAATGGAAATCAAAACCCATTTTATATTGAACTTGCCCAGGCCGAAAATTACTACGGCGAACGTCTGCGCAACCAGGCCTCCTTTACCGTTGGATTTACAGGGGGGGAGGATGCCACTAATATATTCACGATAATATTTCGAATTAAAGTATCATATTCTACCATGAGCTGCTGTATATTACTTCTTCCTTAAATTTCTTCAATCTCCGTCGTTTAGTTTTCGTTTCTTCGACAACATCTCGAGTTTTATACAGTATCCGATCGAAGGAGTTTTTATTTTGAATATCAAATTTCAAATAATGTAAACAGTCGCTATCGCGGCCGCGATTGGCTGGCTGTTACCGGAAATATCTGCTTCCCCCCCGTAAATCCAACGGTAAAGGAGGCCTGGTTGCGCAGACGTTCGCCGTAGTAATTTTCGGCCTGGGCAAGTTCAATATAAAATGGGTTTTGATTTCCATTGTTAAAATATGGTCCAAAACTTGTACATCTCGCCGAAGTACCTCCGTATTTTCCAAGAACGGCATTTGTTGTACATGCTGGCGAATTGTTTTGGAGAATAAAG